ATACACATGTATCACCATGGGAAGTATGGAAAAATAACTATAAAAGCTTCTTTAAAAATTTTCAAATCAAACAGTGAAATCTGGGTCAAAGAAAAAGCCATGTCAAAAAATGTTGTAGTTTATAAGTTCTCACCAGAATGTATCAGCTTATAAGGTTTAATAATAATATCTTGTATGACTTCTTTGAAATTGAACTATTCACAAATTTTAGTGAGGTCAAGGTCAAAGGAAAAGTCGAGATAAAAAAATGTTGATGCAGTTGAAAGCTCTCATAAATGTTAATCAGCTCACTTCTACTAAAGCTTCAAATCTAAGAGACTTTACATACCCACTTATCAGGGGTCTGTGTTTTATAGGGAGGGGGCAGGGTTTCCAAGGGCACTTTTAGTTGGATCAGTTTATAAATTTAAGATCTCTGCAAATTTCAGTGGGGGTCCAGAACCCTACCCCCCTTTCTAGATCTGCACATGCTATCCTAACTCTTGAACATCATGGTCACTGATACAGTACAACACTTGCTCTATGATTGTAAGGTTTTGGGTTTTTGAGCTTCAGTTGCGGGTCCTTCGAATGAGACCTTAAAAATCCTGTCTTTTCTTCATGGCAGGTGTCAAATGGCATGATAAAGGTCCCTCACTGCTCAATGGTCCTGAGTGTGAGTAAAGGCTTTAATTTGAATTTCTTCACCTGTATATGTTGAAGTCTCTTTAAAAGTGAAAAATTCTTCAATGGGACATTAAACAACAAACAATTAATCATCCTAGACCTGATTTGATTGATTGATTGATTGTATATTGTTTAACGTCCCTCTCGAGAATTTTTCACTCATATGGAGACGCCACCACTTACCGGTGGAGAGCTGCAAATTTCATCCTATACTCGGCACTCAGAACCATTGAGCAGGGAGGGATCTTTTTCGTGCCAGCACCTTCTGCGAAGCGAGACCTCGGTTTATACGGTCTCCACGTCCCACAGTGGGATTTGAACCCGCGACGTAAGGATCAACTCATTTCGCGACTCTAGAGCAGACGCCCTAACCACTGTGCCACGCAGGCGATGCTCTGATTTGAACAAATTTGAATCTTTATATATAAACCTAATAATACTTCCATATTACGACTCTGGTATTCCTCTGTCGATATTTTAAAGAAAATATTTCTCCTATAATCCCCATATAAAAACTGATTTCCGACAAATAATTTTGAACTCCTTTACCTTGAAATACGGAGATTATAAACTCACAATTATCAAGTTCTTCAATCCATTGAAACAATATAAATTGGAAGCAGAGCATCACGTTCCTCCAAAAACATCAGAGGTAGGATCAGGTGCCATGGAGGAGTAAGCATCCCCTTTCAATCTATCTGACCCATGGTGTGGCGACCCAAGAAAATGGAATACTGTATAGGGGGAAAATAACTCGCGGTGTTAATATTCGCTATATTCACGGTGATAATAAATCCGTGAATTCAAGAAACAGTGAATAATTTTTCAATAATCTCCATGTTTTATTTGGAAATTTGAGAATAGACTACGATAGGTTTAAATACATTTACATGCACCACTGTATATGGTCATTTCAGTAATTACGAGTAGTACTTGTCAGTCAATTATTTTAATTAGCACGCTTTACATTAATTCAAGTCAACAGATAATAACCTGTAATTGTTAAAAGGCTTTTTAATAGCCAATCAAAACACGTGGGCCATGAGTTTTGATTACTCGTACGTAACTAATGTTACCACGCACGGTGTGTGCATTACCTGCATTATCATGCATATTATAGTTTTTATCGACATTTTAATTTGATTTTAAAAAAGCATTCAAATAACTATAGAACTTACTGAAGATTTGGAAGGATATTATTTCGTCGACCTACTTTTACACATTTATTACCGTCCAGTGGTTTTTCGCCGCGATGTATTGAAGATCTTGGAGTGTACATGCACTCATCGTAATAGAATATAGGAAAGTTATTTGACGTTTGTAGTCAAGGACTTTTGATAACTGCACTGTTTTAATTAATCTTCAATTATTTATTGAGTCTAACTATTTTATTTTAGCCTACCCTGTTGTTCGTGAAATAAAGACATAACAATGATGAATGTCGTTTACATGTAGCAATGGATTAAACGGATATAGACAAGGGAGGTAACTTCTATAACATAAGAATTCCGCAAATTCAAGAAACCGCGATCGTGTCCGATGAGAGAAAACCGTGAAAATTACAACCCGTGAAATTAATCCCCTATACAGTAATCCACAGACAATTCAGTGTGTAAATAATGGCCTGACAATTAGTATGAAAAACCTCAGCATATGACTTAATGATAGATTGTTGGTTAGACTCTGCAGTTAATACAGTAATAAATAGTACAGCAACTCCATGCAAAAAGCCTTGTACATCACTTTTTATATTTTGCACTATGATGAAAGATGTCTTCTCATGAAAATTTCATTTATTCTAGTGAGGTAAGAGGAGATATATTAACCCCCCTTTTGTTTATCGTTGTAGTGGTAATTGTAGTTTATGAAACTATATATAGCCACTATAGTTCTAATATTATGTCTCCAGGCAGTAAATAATCTATGAAACAATTTTTATTATAGCAAATATTTTTCTGTTCTTTAAGCACTTAATTGATTATTCAGTTTTTTCAATGTTTTTAACACTTAAACAAACTCATTCTGAGGTTATAGAGATTTACACTTCCATAAGGAGGTCAAGACAAGATGTCCCTATATAAAATTTCCATCAAAGATTAAATTGGTTTTTAAACTGCAGTATTTACAGATTCAAGTGGTCAAAAAATATGTTTTGAATCCTCTTCTTGAATCTTTTATCCTATGAAAGAATTAATACTCGGCAATACTTTGACTTTATCTTCAGAATTTCATCCTAATATCTTTTTAGACTAATTTCTGATAGCATTCTCAGACACCTTGTATCCAGTATCATCTTTATATAATCAACATCCAAATTCAAATTCAGATATCTTCTTCAATTGATAATCCAAGAATGGCACAAAAAACAATAAATCCCTTTGCACATGATGACAATGGAATATGAAAATCCCATCACTACTTGACATTCATGTTACACGTAGACCGTCATATTTAAAATATTAATAATGGATCTGCATGTATACACAGTATTGCAGACTTTGGGCCACACACAGACACTTAAATGTAGGTGGGCTATCAACACTATGCTGTAGTGTCAATGTAAACAAGTAAAGGTTACAATGTCTTTGAAATATGACATACTCATGGAATGCATACTTCAAAGATATCTCCGCCGGGTGTTTTATGGGGTCTTTTTTTTTTCTTTTTTGCAAAAAAACGTACCTTAGGAAAACTTGTCAATATTTTAATTTTGCTTAGCTATCAGTAGTAAATATAATCGAAGTTTTTGTGACAAATTTTAAAAGAACTTATACAACTGGAATTTTTTTGACATAATTTCATTGATTTTCAAGTCACACAACCTCATGATATATCAAAATACAGGGCCAGGCCCTCTTACATAACTGGTGCCTATTTTACTCTTAAAAGATCTGAAACTTTAGTCGATTGAAAACTGGAAAAATTGACAATTTCTCTGGGAAAAAAAATAGCATTTGAAAATCTTATGAAATATATTAAAAACCTTTTTCAAATTAATGTAAAAATTATTCGTTTTTTTTTCCTCATTACATTTAGGTCAAAGTGGCAAGTTCTTTTGAAAAACATTCAGGACCCAGGAATCTAGTAATTTATTATGCCCTGTTTTTCCATCTTCATCCGTCTTTCAAGTACATTAACTTTCAATTTGAGGAATCCATACTTTTGAAGATCAAGACTATAAAATTTTGAATTCAACGAGATAAAGAACATAGCATAGATCCAAGAAATATAAAATATTTTATATTTGAATTAAACAGTTTAAAAATGAAATTTCAGAGAAATTCAACAAAAAATTGAATTTTTAATTCATGTAACTTAAAAGTATGTGTGTTTTTTTTTTTTCCCAGTTGTTTTTTTGATTTTTAGATTTTTCCTATATATTTCTATATAAAACTTTATTTCTATATAAAAATTTGGGGGGTATTGCTGCATGATACTTATACATGCCAGAAGAATCAAAGTTCAAAATGAAATAAAAATATATTGAGTAATTTAATACATATATTAAATGAATTTTACAAAATATAAATGAATAATAGAGCTCTAGACATAGACATGGCCATGCTACTCATTATTTGTGTCTTTAAAAATATGTGCACTAAAAATTTTTTCGCAATCTTTGGGGCTAATTTTGATCCTTATTGCCTTTACATGTAAAGAATATTAGATATCATTACTTTTAAATGTTAATTTTTATTAGTTATTTAATATAATATTTTAGCCAAGTCTTGCTTTTTTAAAATTTGAAAACATTAAGAAATTATTTTATAGACATTCATATTCTCCTAACTTTTGTTAACAAATTAGAAAAATTACCTTCTAAAACTTCCAAAACCTCAGTGATAATATCCAGGTCGAAAGTTTTCACTCAGAACACCACAGAAAATACTCAGCTCCCATAGGAAACTATACTGGTACACAATTTCAATCCAGCTAAATCTGACAACTTTTTAAACTTGCAAAGTTTCCATTTTTTCTTATACCAAATTTCCAATATAGGCACTGGTATAAAAATTATCCTGGATCAAATTTCATATTTTGTAAATTCCAGTACTCCAACAGATTAATATTCTTAAGAAAACACTCAAATCATTAACATCACTATCACATTTCAAAACAATACACCATCACTGCAACGAAAGGTACTAGAGAAAATCCAGTTCTTTCATGCAGAAAAAAAGTGAATTTTCTCAAATTTCAAAATCAAACACTTTGAACAATTGATACGTCTAAAATCCGATAAAAAAAGGGAACCTGGATAAAAACAATGGTTGGAGGTATTTTGCTGTAGCAATATTAACACACACCTCCTGTTTGCCAGCTTACAAGCAGTCTAACAGATCACATCTCTACTCTGGTGGTATGAGGGCCTTGATGTGGGTCAATACCTCCTATACATGTTCACTCAGCCAGTACATTCACCTGAATTGAAGAGTTTTCTCAACAAAATACACAATTATGTCTCTCTTGGATCCATAGGTAGTTCCCTGATCAAATCGTCCCGTTAATTATGAAGTTTGTTGTATTCAAAATCATGTAACCCCTAATTAGGCCTCTAATTTATGTATATTCCACGTATGACGTTTTATCTTTTTGGCTTCCCTGATTTTTTTTCTAACAGTGTGTTAGACCACCCAAGTTACGCTTTCAACTGCATGCGTCTGTCAATGCTATTCATACAGTCCTGTTGAGAAAAGTGATCCTTAACCATTTTGATCTATTTTCTTTTCATTAACAGATAAAAGAAACATTTTTCCATATTTAAAACGTGGATATAATGGGGAGATGGAGGAGATTTCGACAGTTAAGCTTGTAGAGGTGAGTATGTAATTATAGCCTCGCATCATTAACTTGACAAAATTTGAGCAATGAAAATTACAGCTTAATGTTGGTTTCGTTACTTTCAAATCACTTTCACAATTTTATTTCCTAGGTAACTTGCCATTAAGATATCTCGATTTCAATTTATTTGTTGACATTGAGTCGTTGATTTTATTTTCAAGGATAAGTTTTTGTACTAATGTTTTCGTAATTAATTGACCTCGAACTGAAAGGTTTGATTTCTATTAGAACACCTTTCTTTCCAATGTACTACAGAATCATGCAAGTGCCATATATTATAGAGATGATGTTTGTGTAATATGTCTCCCTTTCCTACATACTTTTGAATTTCTCATATTGAAAAATACTTTTATCTGTATATTTTCTCTTTAGCATATATACTGTAAATTCACTATTTTTGTAGGGTTTATAATTTTCCGCTGTTTCCATGGTGAAAACAGCCCAATAAGATTTAGAAATGTTAAGATTTATGTTTCTTGTTTTTTCATAAACAAGTTTTAAATATCATTTTCTCAAACCACAAAAATTTACACCCCCCTCCCCCAATTCACAATTTTACACCTCTGCAAAAGTACTAAATAATGCATGAGGATCAAAAAATTTTTGCAACAGCTTTTTTTTGCGTTTTATATCTTGGTAATTTTCAACCAAAATATTTACATGTTTTGTCTTGTATACTGTATATCACTTTTACTTCAGTGAACTATATTTTTGCAAAATTAAGGAAGTCTGACTATGTTGTAAAAATTTTATTCTTGTGTACATTTGAATAGTCTGTACCACCACTGTGACTGAGACTCTTTATAAAAATTCAACCTGCATCAAGGCAGTGCCACATTTTTTTCCCTGGGGGGTGGGGGGAGGGGGTGGGTGGGTGGTGATTGATTTGTCTATCATTTTTCAACTGAAAAAGTTACACGTGGATTTTATGAAATTGTATCAAATAAAACTGATTGGAAAATACCTATGGTAATTCCCTCAAGAAGACAGAAGTCTAGGTTAAGAAGAATGAACTTTGGGTCTGAATCATCTCTTTTTCCATCCCACAAAACATCTCAGTTTAGTATTAAAGAAATTATTCAATAAATCAACAAATTAAAGAATTTTTTTCACTTTCTTAACTAAAAAAATTTTAATTACAGCTGAGAATGTGTCAACTCAGTATAGAAATCACTTTACAAACTAAAACACCAATTTGTCAAAACTTTAATCACTTAGAAGCAAACATTGAAACCATGCCGATTGACAAATACCCTTTTTCAATCTCACGGAAAAATTCTCAAATGTAAGAATGAATCATTGATTGCCATGTAAAACTATATTCCAGTTAGGTAATTTGAAATTAAATAAATTTAAAATTACTAGCTTCTCACTCAAGTTTCTCCAGCATGAATCTGAAATTTTTCATGCCCCTGTTGAATGAAGTGTAAAGTTAAAACATTTTGATTGCTTGATTCTCCCAACAAAAGTAGTTCATTGCAAGTAAAACAAAGTCTTTTTTAAAACTTAACATGGTCTGCTTAAGAATGAACACAATATCTATGGCATAGACTGTTTCAGAATGAACAAGTGTCATATCTGTAAAATAGTCTGCTTAAGGCCCTTTCACAGCTGGTGCTCAAGCAGAAGCAACAAAATATGGTTTGTGTGACTGAAAAATTTCCATTTTGATCATAAACTATTGCTGAAATCATCACATTTATAAAAGTATTTGTAATTTGCATGATCTAAAGTGACCACTGTGCACTGCATAGGCATAAAGTCTTGCATCTATATATGATTGTTGAACAATGAAAGCAAGCGTTTTAAGATGACACCATAGGATCATGCAAGTGATGAGGTGATTGGACGGTTGAATGTGCAACAAATGCAACTGTGCATGTGATGCTCGTGCAATTATGCATTTCATGATCAAAATGGTCTGAATACTGTGCATGTGGACAATTTTGAGGATACTTGGTGTGACCACTAAATCGCAGGCAAAGAATGTAAATTAAAGCTTGTGCGAAGCTAAATCTTTCTGATTGCAAAGTGTTGTAAAGTGTTTGTGTGCAAGTTGTGAAAGGGCTTTTTAGGAATGAACAAGTGATATCAATGGTTGACAGGCCCAAAATCTTTGTAAGAAAGAACAAATTATATCTATGTCAGGTTCTAATAGTACTTTCTTCTTAAGAATGAACATGTGATATCTATGAAGTAGTCTGCTAAAGAATGAGCAAGTGATATCTATGATGTAGTCTGCTTAAGAATAAACAAATGATATCTATGAATTAGTCTGCTTAAGAATGAACATGTGATATCTTTGAAGTAATCTGCTTAAGAATGAGCAAGTGATATCTATGATGTAGTCTGTTTAAGAATAAACAAATGATATCAATGAAGTAATCTGCTAAGAATGAACAAGTACACTGTAATATCTATGAGAAGTCTGCTTAAGAATAAACAAGTGATACCTATGAGATTTAAGTCTGCTTAGAAGGAACAATCCTCCTTAAGAATAAACAAGTAATATTTATCAAGTAATATCTGATCAAGAATGAACAAGAGATATCTATACATTAAGGGTTAGATTTAACATCTATTTGAAAAGAATAAATGATATGATGAATTAAGTGTTATGTATAGATTTACTTAAAAATGAAGAAGTGATATCTACAAGTTAGTGTGCTTACAAATGAACAAATGATATCTAGGATGAAATATTTTTAAATTCTGACCAAGCATGAACAAGTGATATCTATGAGGTGTTGGGTACACACTTTTTTTTTAAATAAAGAGATGTCTTTGAAATGTCAAGTTCAAATGCATACAACATAAATGACACATATATCTCTCTTTGAATGATACAACATATTTACAGGTCATCCTTTAACCACACAGGTTAATTTTGACACCCAGTCACACTTAAAACCTAATATGCCACTCTTTATCTAAACAATAATATACCCTGGGACATGCAGTGCAGCAAAACAATACAAGGTTAGTTATCGTGTTATATCTGACGGCTGCCATCGTCCCTGTCATTTGTGCAGAAAACCAAAGACAATACACAGAGAGAAGGATTGTGGGAATCTCCGCAACAAAAAATAATAATTGCCTGACTCCTGCCTTAAATCAAATCACCTCACAGAGGATGAGAGACACCCACTATTTTTTAATCACTATTAGCTGTAAAAAGTTTAATCAGTTGAAAATTGAATTTTCCCCATTTCTATGGAGCCTCATTTTCTTAATGGCTTTTAAGTCTTTCAAGGAATCTTTCGTGTACCCATAAACAAACATATCTGAACAGCCCGCAGTAGTTTAGTGCCTATCCAACTGTGTATATGGCTTGGGTTTCATTTTAAAATTTCTACCATGAGTCATATAATTATAAGGGTTAGAATCAACTTACACTTATTCACCCATCCCCCTACCTTTAGACTTTCTTACAATGACATGACACATCTAAGATGACATTATTATCAGGGTGGCACAACATACTGAATCTGACCTACTAATATTGACATAGTTTGTAATTTTTATCTGAATTTTGAAAGACAGCATATTTTGGAATTCAACAAGCAGAACACTGTAAAAACAAGAGGCCCCTAGGCCACAACACTCACCAGGGATGACAACCATGAAGACAACAGACAATGTACAAATTTCTATCAGAAAAGCTCAGCCTTTAGCCCAGGTGAACTAAAAAGTGACCTTACAACCTAAATTTGTTATATCTGAAGCAAGAAGTACATGCAGACATTCAATTTCTACATTTACAGGGAAAAAATATATTTCAGTCTGAGCATAAAATTAGGGTAACCATAAACAAACATTTTTTTTCTTTAGCCTAATCAAGCTGGTGAATGTTGCAACTCCTTATGTAGATCTGTATGATATATATATTTTTTTATCAATATAAGAGGCTTCAAAAAATCAATATCTAAGTATGGTATTTTTTGTCTTATAGCGGCATTCTGTACAAAATTGCTAGCTTAGTCTTTCTTGAATAACTGCATCCAATTCGTTGGTGGCATCATCGCTATCTTTAATTTGATTTCATCTCCCTCCCCATAATACTTTTAATCCCGAGATGAGAAATCAAATGATTTAATCAATGAGGTGTCAGTAAGCACAGAGCACAGGCAGGCTTAATCAACTTAGGTAACTTTTTATCATATGTAACTATTTGTGGTACAAAATTCTAATAAATTTTGATGTTCTCATTGATCTGAACTGCATTCACCACTAGGGTGAGCACTGCAAAGGGCCACAAATTTTAGTTGAACACAGAAAGATGAAAGAGACTTGTGTAAGTCAAGTCCTCAGTTTGGACAAGAAAATTTTGAAATTTTAAACATTATTAAAGTACTGATGTACTTCAACATGATTTTGACCTTTAACTGCGATTCTTGGTTCGTCATTGCATAGCCTTTACCAACAGGCACATTTAATGAACAAATGATAAGGCTAAAGATAGAGAAAACAGGCTCCAGATAAAAACTTTCCATAACTATTTCTTTAACCTTGTCTTTGAAGGAGATAACAATGAAAAGAAAATGATGAAGTTTTGTTGTATTTAGAATAGACCACTTATGTAACAATTTGTGTTTAAATGGGACTAAAACTGTAGATGGAAAAGCATTTTGAAAAAATGACTGATAGATATAGATCGATACACTGCTAATCACATATGCTCTACCGTATAATCCCTATTAACCACCCCCGGGGCTTAGAAAATTGCAAAAAGGGGGCTGTTACTTTGGTATTCTCTTTATAATATTTAATGTCATATTTTAACTTCAAAAAATCTTATGAAAAAAAAATAAATAAAAGGAACCACTAAAATAATGTCTAACTTTACTTAAAGTGAAAATAATCCACCCAAATTATGCTAAATCATTCATTTTCCATTGAGAAATTGGATAATAGTCAAGTTTCATCTCACTTTCTTCATTTTTTGATACGATTCTAGTTGATTTTAATCACTGTACAGGGGGCCCTTATTTTTTGACAATTGAAAAAGACCGAAGGGGGCTCTTATAGGGGCAGGGGCGGTTAATAGGGATTATACGGCATTTGTTTTTTCCCAGCAGAAGTAAGAACACAAGGCCCATTGGCTACAGTACTTGCATTCTGAATTCATTCCTTTTAATAATGACTACAAAATCAGATTGATAAAACTTGTGAAATATAAATTTCAAATAAAATTGCAATAAAATTAAAACTTCTAACTTTCCTTAATTTTAATACAAATGTAGACCAAGACCATAAATTTTTACTTGCATTGAAGAATGGCCTTCAAAGGTAAAACTTGAAATTCTTTATAAAGCATCAAATTTCAATCAAGATAGGATATAGGGATAGGTCACATGTTTCTCCACAGTGAATCCAACATTATCATATTACCCATGTTTTCAAGCCAGTTTATGGCAATTAAACTTGAACTGAAGCCCTTCTTATTGGCCTACAAAGGGGGAAAGCTTATACTTTTGTAAAAAACTTTTGTAAATTGAGATACCTTTACCTTATGATAAAAATCTTTTAAACTTGGTTATAAATCAAAATTTTCAAAAAAAAATGAAAACTTTATAAGCCTTTAATTGCCCTGTTTTTATGCATATGTGTTTGAGTTGTATCTATTATGAGTAGGTGTAGTTTTATGTTTTTCTTTCAAACTTCCCATACATCTAAGGTTTTTTCCCCCTCTATCTTATCAAAATTATGCTTTTTGAACTAATTTACAGGGTATCATCACCATTCTGAATGCTCCATTTTTCTGTAAATGTGAAATATTTGTGTAGAATTTATCTTTGAGATGATAAAGAAATTGCAGAAACAGCCTCCACATGAAATATTTACATAAAATATTTCTATTTAATATGATAATTATACATAATTCATTCTTTTCTTCATTTCCACAAGATTTTGTATATGAAAACATTGTTGGAAATGGTGATAAAATTGACTTTGCGTTATAAATTCAAATACCTTCCTTTTTTATGCTTCTGCAACCTTTCCTCCTTTCATTTCTACCCCCCCCCCCCCCCTTTTCACCTATAACCCCACCCCACCCTCAGTAACTGTCTTACCATCAGGCCCGGACGCAGCATCTTTGGATTTCTTGGTTTCTGGGCTGTCAGATTTAGAAGCTATCCCATTGCTGGAATCACGGCCCTCGCTTGACATTATGGCTTAATTTCCCTCTTAACACCATCACTCCTAAAATTAAATAAAACCAATTCAATAACTGTTTTCTGATAAACAGTAATGTTCTTTTTTACAAAACGTTCAGCCATTGTTCAAGTTAACTCCAAAAATTTTACACAAGTTTACACCTTCTTTTGAATTCCTTAACGTAGCAATGGTGAAAAATTTACGACAGCTGAAAATTTGCTTCACACATCAACAATGTGTTTGAACATGAACTAATGCTGTTGACAAGGACTGTTAAATATGCAAAATATGTAACTAAGATTTACAATTTCTTAATCATATACAACCAATGTGTAAGATTTACGATTTCTACATTCATATAATTTCTCCGTCATACCATATTTACCAGGCTGTATACACACTCTAAAATGCTAATTTAATAAAATCTCATAAACAAAAAAAGCTTTCACTGTAAGAAAGCTAAAAATTTTGTTATTTATAAACAAAAGTAAATTTTCTAGTTTTATGCTTTGCTCTCTGCTTGTAGATCTCAAATGTAAGTCAAACTCCAAGGTCAAGAGATGAAAAATATTGTTACCCAAAAAAGGACTTGTCTAATTAATTATACCTGTGAAATATGAAAGCCAAAGCATATCCATTCAAAAGTTATGACCATGATTAAACTTTTAAAATTTGGATCAATCTCCAAAGCCAAGTTCAAAAATGTTCAAGTTTAAAGGGTATACCCGGGGAAGGCCTTGTCATTAGAAATACACATATGAAATTATATAAAAGCCCTTGCACCAACTGTTCAAAAGTGATGCCTAAGGTCATTTTTTTGGTATTCCAAAAATGGTCTTGTCTTATTAGATAGAAAGGAAAATTTTTAAAAAATGAGATAGACTAAAAACTTGGACAGTGGTAACTGGTAATTTGGCGAAACCATGACACCTCTACCATGCCTTCCAAAGTTTGTTTGTCTTTTTTTATTGATCAAGAAGTGAATAAGGGGAGGATCTAAGATGGCTCACAGAAGAGTAACTACTTGCAAACAAATGGCCCAGAAGTCACATCACTCACCTGAGCAATTAGGTTAAAGAAATACTGAAACTAGTTCAGTAATGAGAAGTTAAATATATAAGTGGTCACACCTACACCCCCCCCCCCCCCTCCTTGAGGGGACTGATGATCTGGGAAAAAACTGCTTCTATATTAGTCTTTTTAAAAAGATCTTTTCCTATATACATAATCCCATATTCTCTGAAAAAATTTCTGGAAGCAACATTTTCAGTAACAAATCTCACAGAAACAACCACCTTGGCACATACATACAAATTTACTAAACAATTGGGTAATAAATATTTTTCAGTAAGTTTATGTGCATACCTATAACATTAGTGGAACATTATTTTTCTGGAAAATAACCAAACTGACATACATTTTTCTTCCAATTAACTTTCCTAGAAAAGGATTTTATCATTTAAAAGAATTTAGTGCAAAACTGTCCATCTGTCAACATACAAGTATATAAGCATTCCTAAATAAATTCCTTACCTTTTAAAAATTATCAATTTCATTGTTTTATTATTATCATTTCTTACGTCCTTCCCAAAATCTGAAGTGTGTTGGTCTGCATTATAAAGATATTTTATTGTTCACCTATTTCATGCCTCCACACAACCACTTCTAACATACAAACAAATGTCCCTTAGATCACCTTCTTAAACCATAATTTTCTGACATACACTATAGCTCTACTGCTTTGAAATCATTATTGTATACGAAAAAAAATAGTACTAAAGGTACTATTAGCACTGGGCTCACAAAATGATACCCCCCACCCTTCCATATGAGGAAAGTGGTATAGTGGATTTTCTCGACAGTATGTGAATGAGATTCTGTTAATTCTTTTTAAAAATATTCTGGGATTAAGGATAGCATTAACAAAATTGGTACCCTTTTATTGAGTGATTCTCTTTAACAAAGTTATAGCCTGGAAAAAGCTTTCATACTTTTACTTCGTGACTTGACCTTGCAGGAATGACCTCGGTTCAAGGTCAAGTCACACTCTCATGTCATGAACATTATGTGTACTAAGAGCTTCAAATTATTCTCCAATACAGTGATATACCTGGACAAGTTTGCTTGGCCAGACAGAAAGATAGACAATGTTATTCCCTAATTTTTTGTCCCCCACCTTTGTAAAACTGAGGGGACATGGTATCCACTTTTGGGAAAGTTACATCAAATCTCCTTTGTCTGTTTGTCTAGCTGTCCAGATCTGTCAGTCTGTCACAAAAAACTTATCTTGGTTATAACTTTTGAATAAGAAAAAATAGGTCATTTCACATGTTGATTCCACATGTACTACGATTTTCAACCCAATGACCTTAAACCTGAGGTTTGATCTACTTTTCATTTTTTTCAAACATTGGTCTAACTTTTAAATGGGAAAAGATGCAGCGATTAAATTTCACAGGTGCATTATGGCCAGATCTTTCTGAAAAAACACTATATTATTACCTTGAAGTTGAGTCTATTTAAAAAATTTAAACATTGAAATAACTTTTGAATGAGAAAAGATAGCTCTAAGATATTTAATAATGAGTTTTGCTAAACTTTTCAGAAACTTTATTCTTTGTCTTGAAATTGTACTAATGCAAAATTTTAACCTTTTTTGTATAATGGAAAGACAGACAAATGGAATGGTTATAGTCCACCATAAATAATTCCATTCCAACTAGTAATACTCTGAAAGTGTTTTGGGGAGGGACACGATTTCCTGAATTTGCTTGTTAATAAATTCTATTCTGAAATACTGTAGATCTATATACTTTTTTCCATGGGGTCATAATTCGGCGAAATCTCTAGTTCTGTTCAATCTGCTGGTATAAAATTTAAGGCGGACATCTTAAGACTCTCTTTATATGCCTTATATTTGTATTAAGGTAGGATTCTTCTCTGGTTTCTGACTAGATGGAATATTCAAAGTACATTTGTTGATATGTCTTCTATATTTAAATGTAAGAGATTTAAAAGACCATATTTTTCTTTCCTCATCACAATTATACAACTTTAAATAGAAATGGTAAACTGCATTTGAAAACTAGCAGGGACTATATTTTTGGCGGAATGGTGGCGTATGAAAATATCTTCTTTTCTGCCTCTAAAAATTATTATAGAACATTGAATTTAGTTATAATTTTTACGTAATCAAAGACTAGACAAAATTTTCAAATGTAAGTTAAATTAATAATAAGGGACTAAAGTTTCAAAATATATCAAATAAATAAGATTTTTCAAACATAGTAGAACTATGTTGGCTTTTAAATGCTTCAAATCTAAGTACAGATTTGAGCCAAAAATCCGTAAAAAGTGTTATTTCTCTCTTAGTAAACGATGAAAACTTTAGTTTTTGTATCATTTTGTACCTTTATGTGTCAACTTTACTATATGTGAAAATTGGAAAAAGTTAAATATAGGAAGCATATAAAAATAACTAATAAATCTTAAAAATTTAACAAAAGTAGAGGAAATTCAGATTAGCAAATATCCATTTTATTTTAATTATCCATGTCAATTTGGTAATATCATCTTATAGGCCCTATATTGTAGTGTCTTTTTTATGCAAAAAGAAAAACATTCAATCTTTTGAATTACAAGTAGGGGTTGCATGATTGGAAACAGTAATTTTTTATTTTTAATATCAAGGAAAAAGGTACTAGTAATGACCTTGACCTGACCTTGCCTCTAATATTAAATGGTCAAATTTAATGTCAGTGATACCATCACTTAGTGATACTGTCCTCTTGATTCTGTGAAAATTTCATTAAATTCTAAATACAAGAAATGTGAGAAGAATCCTACCTTAATTTTGATAGGACAAATTTCCGCAGAAAATTTGTCCCCGTGTACATAGTGTACGGAAAAAAGTACTTCTGCAGTAGTAAAAAATTATATTTTTAAGGAGGCTTTATTTTTTCTAATAAACTAAACCTATAGAATTTAAGAGCTTTTAGGGGGTAGGTCCATGAGCCCCTACCTAATCAGTTGCCCCCCCCCCCTCTTCTACCTTCAAATTCTGACATGCTATTTCTTTACTAATCAATTCAGATACTTATATAGGCACTATGTTTACCTTATATATGTGTAAATGTGACAATTCTATTTAGAAAGGTATGTGCTTTTCCACTTTTGTTTAAGGAGGAACAGAACCTTTAGCTGAAAAAAATTCATGTCAATGAATTTTTTTCATATATTTTATATTACTAATTTATAGGGATGGCAACGAGCACCCGGTTAACCAGGTACTCTGGTCCGAGTATCAAATACTAAAATCGGTACTCGGTTACTTGGACGTATATTTTTGAATATTTCTAATCTTATTTATTAATGAATTAAACAATCTGTTTTAAAACGTAAAATACTCATTGCACTTTTACATACAGTAATTAGGGTTTACTACGACTCTAAATGACCGTTATCGCCTGTGGCAGTGTTTATACAGTAATCATCATGACCAAGTACCTGGGGTGCCTGGCTTTTCTCATCTTTGGCTGCCTTCTTCCCTCATTTTTGTTTGGCTTTAATTACTTTGTTTTCACTGAACATCGTTTAAGATCCATTATGTTTAAATAAATTAGATAATTTTGTCAATTCTCCGAGAAGCCGTAAATTCTCGGGAAAAGAGCAGATGATATTACACGTGCGATTGTTGATATGGTTGTGTTTGATTACATGCCAATACAACTGGCTGAAGGCAAAGGCTTTAAAATAACTGATGTCCACCATTACGTCAAACTACAAAATACCGTCCCGTAATACTATAATAATCTCGGATCGAACAAGTGTACTAAAATCGTAAATCCGCTCTGTTGGGAGAACTTGATCAAGTTCAAGTTGATACTGTACGTAGCTCTGACGACTGATACCTGGTCGTCAAACGCGACAAAGAGTTACATTACAATTACGGAGCAGATTATTTTTTTAAACAAAAACACTGTGAACAACTTATGATTTTATTTCTTGTGTTTATCTGATAAATAAATTGAATTTAAAAATTGTTATATTAAATTTCGTCGGGCACGAAGTGCTCATCATTTTTACATCAAAGATACATTTATGGATAAGCCTCCTATCAGTGCATCTGGTTTTATTTCTACAAGAGTTTACAATGTTTTACAGTCTTCAATTTACTTGTTCATATTTATTTACACTTTTACCGAGTACCCGGGTACTCGATCGGTAAAACGTACGAGTAACTGAGAATTGAAAACTGACAGATTTGACATCCCTACTAATTTAATATGTACTTAACATTTTAAAACGTTCCTGTCATGGGATTTCTTGACTTATTTAAAAGATATCGCCCCACAAATACCGCCCTGTGTAGAGTTTGTATGGAGTTTAGATACTTCATGTTTACAGGCCCATAACGGAGTCCATCATGCGAATTTTTACGCACAAACGATAAATATTATAGATAACATTATTTACTCAAATATTTCAGAATATTCATAGTGTTTAAATGAGGGGACATATCTGAAAGCAATTGTTTTAATTTTATATAGTATTTGGGTGGGATAATTTCTGCATTTTTCAAGGCAGCTTCAACGACAAATACCTCATTTGGAAAAAATTCTGTCAATAAATATTTCTAAATTTAAGATTGAATGTCAGTCCTTCATCGTAATTACTTACTGCATAAATATCACAGGGTGAAGCTTACCTCAATATCGCACAGGACATCGTTGAATTAGACGTAAGCATGATAAAAACGCTTCACGTTTGTATTTTTCGAGTGCGGGAAATCAATTGTGACGTCACACGAAAACATAAACATTCAAAATTATCTAAATAGAGAGAATCTCTGCTACTAAACACTAAAAAATATTAATTCTGAAAAATCTGCTGCAGAAATTTATCATGATACATTGACTGTGACCTGTTTATTATGAAATAAAACTGATCAAGACGGTGTGTGTAATATACTTGATCTCACTGCACTGAAAATTCAAACACTACGTCTATGACGTCACTGACGTCAAACTGCAGGGTAAAGAGAAACAAATTTGTGGATTGGGCAACTTCACAATATCTAAATGATGGCAAGATCTTTAAAAATTTTATGAATAATAATTTCTAAAATTAAATGTTTAAAAAACAATTTTAGAATTTAGAATAAAATTACACAAGAACTGTTGATTTTAACAACGTCTAACATGTATTTCATCACCGATTATGACATAATATGTCTTTTTAGTCGTGTGACATGTGTCCTGTCTCCCCTTAAATGACCGTTTAACCTTATCAAAGCAAATTTTTTCTTGATGCTGATCTAACATTAAAAGATATAAACCACCAATTAATTTTTTGCTAGGTAAGACATCTCAATAATATCCCTTTGCAAACAATTTAGACATCATGGCATTTATTGGAGCAAATAAAGTTTACAAGTCATTATCTATGCAAAATCCCAGACACATGCTAGAATTAAAGACAAAGCAATCTAATAAATACAATGAATTATTAATTTTCTGTGCACCAAAAAAATAAAATCTGAATAATAATCTCTTCCTTCTCAAAGCAATTAAATTCTATTTTAAAATCTAAATAACTTTCTGTCTGAATACATAATTTCTTTCAAAGGCTTTGAAATGTAATGATGTATCAAACTCTAAATATAATAAATATTTTTTTCTCCTGATTTCTTTTTTTTTAATTTGAAGATCTCATTCATTATGTGAACTTCTCAGAACATAAATTATTACATCCTTCACCTGGTATTTGTTTTTTAATTTATAAAAATCCAAGGTTAGGTAACTTTGTTTCAGAATAAATGGAGTTTTCATGTTCCAGTGTCATAAATATAATTCATCTATCTACAAACAACATGTAGAAGAGTGGAAAAATGATGCATGATTTGTGTTTATGACAACCATGGGCTTTTCAACATCTTAAAACCTCTGACACAGCCTACAGTGGTATAAAACAGCTAATTTTTACATACATTCATAGTTTCACTTTTTTTTATTATAGGTTCTGTATCCAGATTCAACTGGATGATGATGCTAGTGAGAAAGACCATGTGATGATACAATCAAAGCATTATAATAACAATGGTCACACATGCATCTCTGGCTAAAGAAACTTGTTTGGCATAGGTTTGTTCACTTTTAATAAATTATTTGGAGGTGCTTGCTGTTTAAATTTTCTGAATCAATGTTGCCCACCATTTAAAGAAATGGCAGATCAAACATACATCCTTGTAATATCAGATGCAGTTTTAAATTTTTTAAATACGTTTTCTTAATTTACTTGCATTTCCATCCCAGACCCCCGATACAGAGGTAATTGCCAGGTAACTAATAGAGATAAAAGTCTAACTGGAACTCTACTGACAGATAACCCTAGCATCCTCCTAGTTCTGTATGAAACAAAACATGTGGCCCTAAATCATCAACAAAAATCAAGTTCACATTTCTTTCTCATTAGTTATCAAGCAGGAGAATGCAGCAGATACTCGGTTTTTTTGTATTCTGGTAACACAAGGAAAACCAGGAATGGGGTCACAAGTAAAGTAAAGCACTTATCCTACAAATCCAGGGTATTATTGCAAGGAGTTTTCTTTTTCAACTTTCCTATATTTTATCATCAATAATCATCAGTCCAAGAATAAATGTGTCTTTTATTTAATGTAATTTTTTTTTTAAACAAAAATAAATCCTTATTACAAGAAAGAATGTTTTAACAGCTTTGTTCAAATAAATTTTTTATTTAACCAAGAGGTTCATTCAACCTACTCCCACTTTTTGAAAATCATGTAGAAAAAGGTAAGATTTTACGTGGGAATAGGTGGAATTTTTGTGTAAACAAATGATTAACTATGAAAACATATAATTACTGTACAAACAATGATTAATGAACACCTATTGGAATAGAGGACAGGTATATTTGCTTTATTAAATTATAAATCAGACTTTTTACTATAATATTTGAAAGAAAAAATGGATTTTCAATAAAATTAAATTATATTTTATCTCCGTTATTATATTCATTCTAAAATCCACCTATTTGAATGCTTTTTTTCATCAAATCTATTTATTTTATGTTCTTAAATTAAGATATTAAATTAAGATATTAAGTTGCTATTTCTTGTAAGATCTTTTAAATTATTTCAAAAATCCGAAATAAATAATATTTTCTTATAGATGTATTCATTATTTTCTGTCTTAAAATGTACAAAATACAGGTAAATCTAAAGAGCAGATGTAATTAGTCTAGTTAATGTAAAAACAAATTAACTATCTAAACATTTATTGTTATTTGCAAGTGGGAATAGGTGGAATTGAGATTTTTAAAAAGTGGGAATAGGTAGAAGACACCAACCAAGAGTCTCCCAAAAGAGTAATTAAATGACAAAAACAATATAATGATTGAGGCAAATCACTATCAATGTCCACCCAAATTATCTAGATTTTTTTATGCAATAACTTCTTTGTGAATTCATGAGCAATTTTTTTCTTCGTTTAATAGACTACGTTTAGCAAAGAGAACAGGTAATACTGTTTCTCCCTAGCAAAGGCATAAATTATTATGACATCTCCCTTTGATTTATAAAACTATAAGAATCAAACAAAATTCAAGAAAATTTGCTTAATTTTAGATAAAACAATTAACATGTGGTGTTTGTGATGTGTATCTTTTTTTTCTTTGTTTAATTTATTTCTGTTGCATCCCCTTTTAATGGGTTTTTGGTGATTAGGTGTATTTGTAACTATAGCAGTTAAGGTTATATGGACCGTGGATATCCGCCTGAGTAGCTCAATGGTAGAGCACCTGACTAGCAATGCAGGGGTTCCAGGTTTAATTTCCAGTCCAGCCTTAAATTTTTGTCCCCCGCTTGAAAAGTGGGGGATATTAATTTGGGTTTGTCCGTCCGTCCGTCTCTCTGTCTGTCTGTAACGCTTTCATTTCCACACGATATCTCGAGAACCCTTTGAGCTTTTGCAATGAAATTTAGCATAGCAACTCCCTACGGACTAAAGAAGAACCCTATTGATTTTGAGGTCAAAAGGTCAAAGGTCAAGGTCATAAATAAGCAAATTCTGTCTGTTATAATACTTTGTTTCCACACGATATCTCTAGAACCATTTGAGCTATTGCAATGAAATTTTACATAACAACTCCCTGTGGCCTAATAAAGACCCCTACTGATTTTGAGGTAAAAAGGTCAAAGTTCAAGGTCATAAATTTACATTCTGTCTGTGTGTAACACTATCATTTCCGGGCGATATTTCAAGAAGATTTTGAGCTTATTCAATGTAATTTTATACCAAAACTCCCTAGGACCTCTCTCACCCCTCTCAAAGTGCCCCGCCCTGTTTGTTTTATTAGTATTTATGGTATTACATGTCGCTATTTTTACCACAGGGGCATGAGGAGAGTTATTGCGTATAAAACAGGTTCTCGGTCGACTTTATGTTCTTATTACATCTATTAGAACTGTTTAATAAAGGCTAAATAAATCAAACACCATGGATTGTGTAAAATTTTGACAATACCGAACATGAATATGTACATGTATGTGACTTCACTTCTGCATATACTTGACTTCATGTAAAGCGATTCCGTGGTTTAGTGGTATGTTTCTCGTTTCCTATGTGAGAGGTCCCGAGTTCAAGTCTGGACGGACAACTTTTTTTTTTAACTAAATAATAGTATTCAGCATGCGAAATGAAAAATTTACGAGGTCTGGCTTGTACAAACTCATAAAATCATCATTACAGTGTGATAAATATTCCATATAAAAAGAATCTTCTATACACATAATAAAGAATAAGCAATTAAATCTTTATATCCATAATGGTATATTTTATTTGCTTCAGTATACATGCATGTATACATTTAATAATTCTAAAAATTCAGTGAGGGGGATCCAAGTCTCCCCCCTCCCTCCACCCGAACTGCGCATGTTTTACTTTTTCCTTAAGTGGGGGACACAATTTCTCTGAATTAGCTTGTTTCTCTTTTTTTACTACAGAACTTATAAAGTATAAAAGCTAGATTCTATTTTTTTGTCATTTAATTAAAAGAGTTTATAGGAACTATATGGCAGGATTATTTACAGCCTTTTGAAAGGATTAATTTATTTTCTTTGTTCACAGATAAAATAACTGTGTATCTGATGTGTTCTTCAAGCTAATACCAGAAGTGTTAGATTTGCATGAACTTTTATTGTATCATTTACATATTCCCATGTAAAAACTCAGGTTCCCTGTGGAACACATCCTTATTTGATGAAAATTTATACCTAATTTAAACTTTGCCTTTTATATCTACCTTATTATGCATCATAAGGTGCATGTGCCTTTTTTGATGTTTTTGATTATTAATATTTATTACATGAAGTGCATCCATATTAATGTTTTCCATTTTGTTTTTTTGTAAATATTCCTATTATAGTCTATAAATGTGCTCACCAAATGGTACATACTGACAAAATCTAATTCATATAATGTGTAAACATATAGCAAAATTCATCCAGATAAGTAGTAAAGAAAACGGCTTTGAGGTTTTCTGCAATAGATTAAACTGTGGTAGATGCAAATGACAAAATTTTTTCAGATTGAATGATTTGTTTAAATTTTATTCAGCAAAGGTTGTTGAAAAAAACCTGAGGTTACTACAAAATTAGCGGAAATCAAAAACAAGTCATCTAATGTTTGACAAGAGATACATAAAAGAGTCAAATGTGTTTTGCAATGCATTTTGAAATGTGCATTTAAACTCCATAAATGTGGTCAACTAATTAAAGAAGTGCATTAATTAATTAAGATAAATAAAGGTATAATTACAATCATTAACTTGACAAAACTCAACGACATGGATTCCAAGTACTGCTATGTAATGGAAAAGTTGATATTAGGATAAATAAACAGTGATTAATGGAAAAAAATCCTTCTAATACAGATCAATGAACAGAGCAAAACACAGTCTCTCAGAAAAAAATGGAGGTGGGATTAGGTGGCATGGATAAGTAAGCATTCCCTTTGACCTGAGCCCTATATATTGATCAGGAAGACAGAATTTTCTATGGCCTTATTTAGTTTCAAAACAAAAATCTATCGATTGATTGATTTCATGTTGTTTTACATTCCATTAAACAACTTTTCATTCATATAGATATGTCAGCATACACTAGTGAGGAGTTTTATATTATGACCTTTACTCAACACTCAGGGTCATTGAGCAGTAAGGGATCTTTATCCTGCAAACACCTGCCTCAGTTTTTTTAAGGACTTCCGAAGAACCAACAAATTTCACCTCAAAAAGGCAAGCACTTGGTAAAATAACAGTTGCTACCTATTTTTAGGATTCAGCCAGGATTTGAACCAAAGACCTTCTGATCATGGAATGAGTGCTCTACTGACTGAGTTACCATGATGGTCCACTCCTATGAAAATGATGAATTGATATGAAATAGGACACAATTATAGGCTATATTACTAACAAGGTCATTAAAATGATATCACAATTTATGAAACACTGACTTGAAATGTGACTGTAACATCAACATATCTGACAATAGCCTGTTTCAGTTAAATAATTTATAGTAATCAGAGCATGAACTGAAGTATCTAATAAGTAGGTAGACATAAACACCATATGCAGGAATAATCAAATAAAAAAATGTGTGTTTCCAGTAACATGCTTTAATTTAGGGTAGATAGATAAGCAATAACTATTTTAAAATTTTAAATTTTTTATTTTGTATATTATTGTATATTATGGATAACTATACATCAGAGAAAAAAGTGTACTCTTTTAATCACTTGGATACACACATTTTTACATTGTCTGAGACATGCATTTTCTTGAGTGGTTCCACTTAACAACATGTCTTTCTTATCCTTGTAAGTGGTCCAGTTAACAATAGGTTTTTCTTATCCTAGTAAGTGGTACCAGTAAACAATAAGTCTTTCTTATCCTACGAGGGGTGATCAAAAAGTTCGCAAACTAATTGAATAACTTCCATACAAGAAACAATATTTGGTTTTAATGTTGATTATATTTTAAATTAATCCTCCCCGATTTTAATGCATATCAACCATCGTTCTGCGCATGCGCGAATCACGTGATATTGGCGGTCACGTGACCCCCT